GTGGGGGACAAATGGGGTACACCAAAGTGTATCCCTAGCATTGCTCTTTTTTAATTCCTTGCTCATCATGGTTCTAACTTGAAAAATGCTAGGGGTACACCAAATGGTGTACCCCATTTGTCCCCCACCCCCTCCATAACCACAAAAAAGGCAAGAGACTAAAAAAAATTATATAAATAAAAATAAAATAAAATTGAGTGGTAGAGAGAGGGGTGGGGGACAAATGGGGTACACCTTTGGTACTCCTAGCATTGCTCTTCTAACTTCTATATAATGCTTATTTCATCTTTTCATATTTATGTTTTAACTTGTTTCTTTAAGAGCATCTATACTATTTTTAAATGAGGGGAATTTCCCATTGCATTTTCTCGCCTAAACGTTTCAGTCACAAAAGGTAAGTGTTAAAACTTGAAATGATAAGTGCAAAATGATAATGCATCCGTGCATGTATAATTTTATAGTTTAATATGTAAGTGTCGTGTATAAGTAATTTCATAATTATTTACTCTCACTTTTCTTTTATAGTTATTATTAATTGTTATGGTACCGTGTAATAATAATAATAAACGTAATAATTATTATTTGTACCGTGTATAATAAAAAAGGTAACATGTGAAACTTTAATTTTTAATTATTAATTATTAATAAGGTAATTTCATATCTTATAATTTTTGGCACTGTGTAATAAAAAAGGTAACATGTGAAACTTTAATTATTAATTATTAATAAGATAATTTCATACCTTACAATGTGTATAATTAAAAAGGGTAACACGTGAAAAAATAATAATAATATAGTAATAATATGGTACCGTATGATAATAATCATAATAATAAACGTAATAATTATAACATTAAAGGTAAGTTAGTTTTATGCTATTACCGTGTATAAAATAAATGAAAATGTTGACTTGATTTAAAAAAAATGTATTCTCATACCTTATATTTTTTTACCAAAATTATAAATTATAAAATTAATTATTAATAAAGCAATTTCATACCTTATAATTTTTGGTACAGTGTAATGGAAAAGGTAACATTTGTACTTTAACAAAAAAAATTTGTACCTTAAAATAATAAAATCTATATATTCTATTAGATATCATTTTCTATCATTAAAAAATGATCTTAATTTAGTAACGTAAATATGACCCGTGCAACGCACATGTGTGATATCTAACATGTGTAACGAAAGGACAAGTTGATTCTTTTTATATTAAAGGATTATCTTGTGTTATTTTGAGAAAGTTGTTTAATCTTTTATTTATTTATTTGTTCGTTTGTTTATTATTATTATTAGAAAAATTTTCACGAATACTCTAAATATTCTAAGATTTTACATAAATACACCTATTTTCATTAATTTAGGTCATTATTTTTAGAATTGTCTCATATTTACAATGTTACTCAGTCGCTGCCTAGTCATCACGTTGTCGTTCTTTTGATGATGAGTGAAATCAGATCAGTAACTGCTTTAAATTAAATGCAATCAAATGAATCAGATCTATTCATATCACATCAGATTCATTCAAATCTAACTACTTGGACATCAAATCATATCAATCTTTTAAAATTTAGATCTGATATAAAAAGTATATACGAAGAAAATGCACCCTTAGAAAGTTAAAAAGAAAGAAAGATGTGCAACAAATGATGGGTTTAATTTGGTCCCGAGATAAATCATAAGTTGGCACTCTTAATGATGGGGAATAACCCCAAGCCAGCCTGGGACTGACATCAGCATAAATTTCCTAAGTATCGGGCTTGGACGTTCCTGCCCGGCCTAGAGCTCCGCTCGTCCTTCCTGCCCGGCTCTGCGCTCCGCTCGTCCTTCCAGCTCGGCTCGGCCAACCAAACCGAGCCCGAGCCCCGCGACAATGACGTGAGGAAAGTGACGTTCAACGAAGACTTGATGAAAGCGATAGGGTGAAAGGGACAAGACCTAAGGACAGGTGACGTCTGCTAGACGACGAGCCTCGATCAGAGGGCTTTGACTTAGTGTATTGTACCCCCTATAAAAGGGGTGGCATCCCTCATTGTAACGAATCCCGATTTTGAAATCAATATACTCCTACTTTGCCTTCTCTTTCTCTCTAAAACTTATACATCCTCTGTCTCCCATAGATCTTCTCATTAGCCCTTTTTATTTGTCCACCATAGATCTTCTCATTACCTTTTTTAACACTTAAAATACCACAACTACCCCCACTTACTTTATTTATTATATCTCACCTACCTCATTTAATACACTCTACCCATTTTCATTAAGGGTATTATGGTAAACTTTCACTTTTTTTCAACTCTTCTAAAAAACCGCAAAAAGTCAAAACGAGAAGATCTTAGGGGGACGGAGGGAGTATTATTTTATACTCTCGGTGGTTTATAGCCATCACTTAAATTGTCCATTTCGTATTAACAAAGCCATGTAGGTAACGAACATGATGATTAAATAGCACCAGAGTAAGAATATAAATATGAGACAATTTTGGGAGTAATGACTAAAATTAATGAATTTGGACACATTTATGTAAAATTGTGAGTTTTTGAGAGTATTTATGTGTACTTTTTCTTACTATTATTCTTTTAAGCAAAAAATCTATTAATAAAATGATAATAACAACCTAGTATAACCCACAATAATAAGTTTGGGGAGAAAATGGACGTAGATCTTACCTCTACTAGAAAGTGATTAAAGATGTTGCTTTTAAGAAAGATCACAACTCGAAACACACAAAATGCACACAGAACAAGACAAAGGAAGCACACACGAAGTTTAGAGTAATGATAGAAAAACACAATGAAACAAAAAGTACCATGCAAAGTAGCACACAAGGCCAAATGCAGAAACTACCACCATGCTCAAAAGGCTACCAACTATTCTAGTTCTAGCTCTTTAGCCTCTCCAATTAAAGATAATACCTTCTGAAATGCAAGTAAAAAAATTCTCCATAGGTAATTAACAAAGTAGAATTCAAAATTGATTTTTATGAGAATATGTTTTACAAGCATTAGTTGAAATTGGACTTAGTCTAGTTTAGTTTAATTATGGATGCACGAAGAACGACAATAAGAATGAAAATGAACTCTCGAGAAATATGATCTAAATATAACTTGTATTAACTTAATTTAGCTTGGGTTACAATTGAGGTTTTACCGCCTATTTATAGTCTACATATTACAATGTACATGACATGCAATAATGGCCAGATTTCTTGCCACAATTGATCTGACGTGCGTCAATTATGAAGGAAAATTAGTCATCAATTACCCACGATCTGTGAGATTGACTGCTCCTTGAATTGGCTAATTCATCCTGGCCCAGTCCCAACTCCTCCCAAGACTCTCCAATCGACCCAATTTACACTGATGCTAACAATACACTTGTCTGCTCCCGTATCTCGCTCGACCCGATCCACACTCAAGCCCAAAATAATTTATTGGGCTGATATTTTCATCCACTAGGCCCATATCCATTAATGTGCTCAATAGTTAATTCGGCTAAACCAGAAAGAGATGTAATAATATGTTTAAAATCATACAAGACTAACTAAAGTTACTCTTATATGAGCGAGTGTCATTCATTGATACTAAATGCTAGTGTCAACGAATGGCACTCGCTCATTTGGAGCTCCTACAGTCCTCCAAATGAAAAATTGATGGTTCATACCTCTAACTCCTCCCTAAACCCCCTACCGCACCGCACCCCAGATTGACCCATACGCCCCAACCCTAGACCCCCCTCTCATCCACTCCAAATGTGTGGCTCTTATGCATTCTATTATGCAATGCATAATAGCCACATGTTTGGAGGAGTAATAGGTGGGGTCTAGGGTAGGAGCGCAGGGGTCGAGCTGTGGTGGAGGTGAGGGGATTAGGGGGGGAACATCAATTTTACGAACGGAGCACCATAGGAGCTCCAAATGAGCGAGTGTCATCCATTGACACGTACTGAATACCACTGTCAACAAAACCTTGCCGTATGTTTAAAGTAGCAAAACCGAAAAAAGGTAAGAGGTATTTTTCAAACACGAGTTCGAAATACGTTTGGGAACTTGGGCCTTTTTAAAGAAATGTTATGATGCTAAAAAACGCTGATGACAAACAAAGCCATAATAATTATTTGAGTACGCTAACAATGAACATTTTCTACTAAAGAAAAAGGAAATAACGCCAATACAAATTACTACCTCTGTTCCAGAGTATTTGTCCAGTTTGACTTTTTTGAGTCAAATTGGACCAACTTTGAAGTCCAATTACTCTCAATTTGTATTACATATTAGCACAATGAAATACAATTTTAAAAGTTCTCAATACGATAAATCCAATAATATCATTTTTATATTAAAATACTTTACGGTTTTTATTTAATTGAAGCTCAAAGGTTTTTCTAATTTGACTCGAAAAAGTTAAACTGGACAAATACTCTGGGACGAAGGGAGTAAAAATAAAAAAAAGTAGAGTGTCATTCAAAATTGTGGAGTGCAAATATCGCTTCTCGTTTTTAGGGATGAGCTTCAGTACTTCGTATTTGTTTTCTACACCAAAGCTGAAAACGGCGTAGGCAGTCAATGCCGTTTAAGACATCTTTTTTGAAACTTATATCTTAGATGTCGAAACCCAAATATTACAAACCACTCTCCCTACCAAAAAAGTTAATCATTGAATAATGATGAAGGAATTGGAAATAAGCATGAACCATTATTTTCTTTCAAGAAATCACCCTAAACAGAAGTAACAAAAAGAAAATATCAAAATAGGAGTTTCATGTTTTTTAACTCCAAAATAAGAGTTAGTACTGTAGTAATGTGAAACTGTATATGAAATTTCACAATATTTTTTGGTAATATATATGGTCATGATTGACACTGTAAATGCATTTTAACATCTGTTTTAAAAATAAAATATGAAACTTCTATTTTAGTACTCCGTATATTTTAAGATTTTACCTTTATCCTAAAATAACTGTGCTATATTAGCTCTAAGATAACTCGACTTTCATATAGCCAAAATCATCCCAAAAGGCTGAACCACTAACATGGTCTAAAAAACTCTGAACCCAGTAACACTCCCAACTGCCAGTTTCAAACTCTTTCAGGCCATTTCTATTACAACCTCACCCTTGGCTTTAGCCACGCCGCACAAATTCCTGCTTATTCAATCCCCCAATTTCACCACCACCTGAACTTGCGAAACTAGACCCATATACGCAAGCAGACTGACCGGATTTATCGAATGAAAATGACCTTCGCTTCTTTCAGCACTGGCATTCCCTTGTGCCCGTACAAGCTATGGTGTCAGCCTAATACTGGAAGACGGCGGTTCATTGCTTGCTCTGTCCATGCTCCGCCCATTAAAGGTACCCCACCCGACATATTCTCCAATTTTCAATTGCAAGAGCTCATTTGCTTGATTGGAAATGTTCATTTTTCTGTCTAACATGTTAATTTTAGGAGTGTTTCTCATTTTGCATTTGCTACTCAGAAGATTTTCCATTTTGAAGTCTTACTTGCTGATGCCTTTTTAGCTAGTATTACTATTGAATAATGGAATAAACAAGAGCCCGTAACCGCGGAGAAGATAGCACCTTCGTGAAAAGTCTGCTAGAAGTAGAGAGACACATCTTCGTTGCGTGACGAACAACCTTGAGAGTGCGTGTGCTGAGTTTTTTTCTGGCAGAGAGTGTTGGCGATCGGAGCGAGGGCGAAGAGTTTCTTTTTTTTCTCCCTTTGGGCCATTCTCTGCTTCTCAATCGCTTTTCATGCCCTCGAACTCTAGAAGAAACACAAACAAATGCCGCTTCCTAGTTCTTCAATCACGCATACAAATTTGGTGAAGACGACAATCATGAGGTTTCGGAATGGACAATTATAAGGTAGGGTTGGACGTGAATGAAGAGGGTTGGGTTGATGTTTTTGTTTGATTTTGGTAGAGGGTACTACGGGAGAATTTTTTGGTAGTGGTGAGGAATATTGATCGGAGGAAGAAGAATGACGCGACTGGTGGCTAATGGTGGTGCCGCCCGTCTGGAGCGAAGGTAGAGGATTTTATCTAGGTCACCAAGATCGGTGGCTTATACCATATTGAATAATGGAATAATTGTATTACTCAAGGAATAATGGAATAAATGGCAGAGTATATATAGAATGGAGTACAACCTCAACTACGACTAGGAATCAATAATAGAAGCTGACTAAAATACAAAGACTACCATAATAGAGTTAATGATTACTATTGTCTAACAATTGCTTCCCATGTGTAGTTTGCTTTTTTTTTTTTTTGCATTTCTGCCTGTGAGGAAATGGATAATTTCATTGTTTGTTGTTCTTTACTCCGTAATTGGCATGGCCTTGTTGATAACTTTATGTACTCTGATCTCTCAGATAAATACTTTGCCAAGCATCCGCGTAAAAGGCGTGTAACTGGTGAAGGGTGTGGAAGAAGTATGGATGACTCCGTTCAACGTAAGATGGATCAATTTTATGAAGGGTCCCAAGGCCCTCCTTTACGAATCCTTCCCATTGGGGGTTTAGGAGAAATTGGGATGAATTGCATGTTAGTTGGGTATTATGATCGATATATACTGATTGATGCTGGTGTTATGTTCCCCGGGTAAGCATAAACAAATACGCCGGAGTACATTTCTCGAAAGATTTTAAGTATTACATTTATCGTTGAGTATGGGGCTATGTTTTCAATAAGTTCTACGGACGGTTTTGTAAGGCATGTATGGATTGTCTCACATTGTAATTTTAGGAGGCATAACCAAGTAATTCAATTTTGTCAATGTAGCTGAGCAGTTATTACTGATTAGTTCATTTTCCCTTACACTGCCTTCACCCAAAATAGGCCTTACATTTACTTTCTTGAAGACGTGAACATGAAGATTTGTTGCTATTCGATTTTCTAATTCGGTTCCCTTATGCTTTCTCCATTGTGGATCAATGTTGGATCTCCTTTGTCATTTATCCAGATATGATGAGCTTGGTGTCCAGAAAATTATTCCTGATACCACTTTCATTAAAAAATGGAGCCACAAAATTGAAGCAGTTGTCATAACTCATGGACACGAAGATCACATTGGTGCATTGCCTTGGGTAATGTTTCAATTCATCTCTTAGAAAATTTCTTCCATTGTAGTTGTAAACAACAAAGTGTGCTTTATTAAGAAGTTTGATATATTGCTGTGTTGACATGGCTAAAGTTTTTATAACAAAATTTTTGCGAGGGCATTCTTGTTTTAAGAAGTTTGCCTTATTTGTGTTTTATCTTTATACCCTGAGGGTGTAAAGAGAAGTTTATTTTTCTTTTCGGCTTCTGGTGTGTGTCCATGCGTGTCGTGCATGCACACATTTCTTTCATGGCACAGACACACACAACTTGCAAATTTCTTATTAACACTGTGCTGGAATCCAGGTCATTCCAAGCCTTGATTCCCAGACACCAATATTTGCGTCTTCGTTCACACTGGAGGTATGAATTCATGGATCATTTGATTTCTGATATTAGTTACTCTGTATTTTTTATAAAAAAAGATTTTGTGTGAAAGAGATAAAAGAGAGATGAGAAATAGCAATTCCAGGTTCTCTCTAAATTCTAGAAAATATCCATCCTTTTTTTTGAAATAGTGACTTCATATTTCATTATGTATCTTTTGTTCTCTCAACATCTAATTCTCATGTTTTCTTCTTACCAATACAGGAAAAGTTCATTAATCCTCACTTATTATATATTCAATTTTTTCTGACATAGCATTCAAAACTTCTAACTTTTGAGTTTCGAGACAAAGTTATTAAATGGTTTATAATAAAGGTGGAAGCTTATTGCCATATTAATGGCTAAATTTGGCAACTATGAAACTGAACATGTCATTAAACTGTAGAATAGTAGGACTCTCATTGATTGAAACTCAACCACAACAACCTACCCTGTAAAGTCTTCATAAGTTGGGTCTCGAGATGTGTGTATCCAGAACTTAACCCTTCACTTATAAGATAGAAAGATTGTTTCCTGAAGAAAAACAAAAGAAACTGATTGGAAAGTTCAACAGGAAAAGTGGGAACACAAATACAAGAGCAAGACAGGAATATAATATAACCACAAACACAAAGAATACACGGAAAATACTCCACTACTTCCTAGAACATGAGGCCGGCACTGATATGCCTGGTAACACAAGTATCCTACAACTTTAATCCTTGACCTCCAAACTTCCCCATCTAAAATCATGTCCTAAGCGAGCTTCAAAAGCATCATGTCTTGTCTAGTGACCTCTCCAACTCTTCTTTGATTACATCTACTTTCATGCTAACCTCCCGCACCTCCACAGGGGCATCTAGACTTCTGCTTTGCATATGCTCGAACCACCCTAACCTTGGTTCATGCATCTTTCCCTCCACAGTTACCACTTCCACTTTGGCTTGTATACCATCATTCTGAATCTTGTTCCTCCTATTATGTTCGCATATTCACCTAAACATACTCATCTTTGTTACACTAAGCTTCTCCATGTGGACGCTCGTAACTGGCCAACACTCCCCATACAACATGACTCTCGAATCATTGTTGTATAAAACTTGCCTTTGAGTTTTAGTGGCACATTCTTGCCACACAAGACTTTGCATGTGAGCCTGCATGCCATCATCCCGCTTCGATACAATGATAGACATCACCAGAAATCTCCCCATAGCTTTGAATGATTGGCCAAGGTAACAAAAACAATCATTTTTGGGAACATGCCATGAATCAATTTCCATCTCCACTTTCGACTTTTATGGTATGCCGTTGAAACTACACTCCATGTACTTTGTCTTTGTTGTGCTCAACTAGAAGTCTTTGGACCTAATGTTGCCATTAAAAGCCTAACGTGTATCGCCAATTAACACAATATCATCAACAAAAAGCATGTACCTTCGTACTTTCTTCCTGGACATGTTGTGTGAACTCATACATCCCCAAGTAGAACAATAATGGACTAAGAGAGCACCCTTGATGTGGCCTAGCCTATCTCAACTGGAAAAGGATACGAGTCTCCTCACACTGTTGTCATTTTGGTCTTGACATTATCGTACATGTTCATACATAACGTCATAACCTTAACTTCCCTAATATATGTCATCCATGCATTTACGCATTTTTGTACTCCAAACATTTCTACAAGACCTTCCCAGGGATATGGAAAGTCACAGGGTTCCTAAAACTTGATTTACTCTATCTATTCTCAAGTTTTTTAGCTCAATCAAGTTTTTTTGAATAGGCTTTTGTTCAATACTTATGGTCAAATTTTAAACTTTTTAAAGATGATCTCTGTTTAGATTAAGTTAACTAAACAAATTTTAATTCCCTTGACCTACATTTAAGCCCATTGCATTATGTAACGTCAAATCTCAAACATGGGTTTAGTCAAATTTCCAATTTGAAATGATTAATCACATTGCTACATATGGTGTTTTTAGATCCCATCTTATATAGGGAATGCAAAGCCAAATTTCAAGTATTTACGTCAAAAGGGATATATCGTAAACAAACCAAAACCAAGCTCATTCAAGGATATGGACCAACTGTTAAGTAAGGTCCTACTTAAGTGGGATTCTACTAAGTTGTTGTTATATATATGAAGAGGGTTAATATTCTAACAATTTTTTCCACAACATATCTTACAACATTCATATCTTTGAAATGATTTTTTTGTGAAATCCACCGTAGGATTGAAAGTTATTAACTCATAGATTATTATCTTAAAATTTCACAAAAATCCAAATTTGTTTCCTATGAAATTCTTTGGCCTAGAGTGTTTGCCCAATTTTGACTTTTTTGAGTCAACTAGTGTCAAATTATATGGTATATTAATTAGATAAAACAATATTTCATAAGATAAATATTTTATAAAATAAATTTGATAAAATAATTTTTGTATCAATATCTAATATCAATTTTATTTAATTTTTGGTCAAAGTTTGTTACTTTTGACTGCAAAAACTGGACAAACACTCTGGGATGTTTTAACATGTTTTAAGCCTATATATTGCATTAATTTTTATTGAATCAGATGAATTGCGAAACTGCCTTGATTTTTTGTGAAACTTTAGGATAACAATCTACGAGTTAGTAACTTTCATTCCGATGGTGGGTTTCACAAAGAAAATCCAATTGCAATATATGAATGTTATTAGATTTGTAATTTGTTGTATGGATAACCCCACTCACACACACACACACACACACACACATGTATGTATGTTTGTATGTATGTATGTGTGTGTGTGTATATATATATATTATAAGTTGTATTTCCTCTATAATAATTTAGTATTTACATGAAATATTACTTGAAATTATGATATAAATTATTTTACTCCCTCTTTTTAAATTATTTTTTTACATTTTGGTTTATAATACTTGACTCAAGTTATTTTTATAATTGAATTTAATTAAATATTAATGAAAATAAAAACTAACATTTAAACTTTTTTCAAAACCTATATCAATGGTTTTACAAAGGACGTGTTCTTTTTGCTTAAAATTCTAAAGTTGAATGTTGGAAGAAACTGGAAAGAGTTGGAAGAATCAGGAAGGAGTTGGAAAGAACTGAAAGGAGTTGGAAAATGTTGGAAAAATTAAAGAGTTAAAAAATCACTCTATTAAACAATCACCCAAATTAATAGGCAAGAAACTCTAATTTTGGATAAAAAAGAATTCATTCTTGTCCGTGTTTGAGGTGGTATGTTATAAATTTGGATATATAATGTTATTGTATAAGAGGTGACCTGACTATTTTATTTTAACAAATGAACAATAGATATATGTAAGGAAAAAAGACAATTTAACATTGTGAATAATAAATGTGATGAACTTTTTGGGACGGAGGGAGAACAAACTAATTGTAGCTTGGATTAATACTCCGTGTCAACAACAAACACAATGTAATCCCACCTCATGTGGTTTGGGGCAATATGTACGCAGTCATACACCATTATAAAATAGAGAGGATGTTTCGGTTAGACCTATGATACTAGATTAATACGGAGTATTCCCTATGGACTGCAAAAATCAATTGTTAGTGCTTAAACAAGAACACAAATCTGTGCTCAAAGTTTTTTTCAAGAAAGTCAATGTTGAAGTAATGTTTTCAACGGAAGAATATTCAACTTTTTGGTTTTAGAGAAAGTTGAAGTATTTTTGTCAAGTGAAGATAATCAAAGTAATCAAAGTTAAAGATAGTGTTAAATATCAACTTTTCCAACAATCTTAAGCTTTTGTACATGTGTTGTTTGGAAGGGTAGGGGTCATAAGAATTGTGTAGGAATTCAGAAAATAGATGATTTTTTGTGGGAGATTTTTGGATAGTGGGAATAAACTAATGCTGAATGTAAGATGTTGCACACTCAATTCTCTCTTAGGATTAACTCTAGAATTTAATTAAGAATCACAACTAATCAAATATCTAGAACCTGACACTCATATTTAAGAGAACCACTATTAATATGTAGAAATTATGAATGTAGATAAAATAACTATTTTAAGATTTCATTCGAAAGAGTGAACTCATATTTTTCATAAACTCGTTAATTGTTCCTCAATCTCATACATAGGCTTATATACTGCTAAACATCAAGTCATCAACTAAATCATACAATTTGAGAGGAAAATATTTTCCTAATTTCCTGCATCTATTAGAGTAAAAAGAGAGGAAAATGCAATCCAGCAAAAGTACACAATCAAGGTACCATGGTGTCCCACTTGTCTATTTCAATTCGTCTTTTCTTCATGGATATCTCTTTCAAATATTTGAGTATTTCACTCTCATTTATCCGGTTATCCCATGGACTCACACCCCATTTTTCAAAGAAAAGAGGAACAATACAACAATCCAGTACACTAGCTTCCAAATGGATGATTAAGTAGTTAAATAACCACTAGAAGACGAGATTTTTGGGTTGAAATAACACCTTTTGAAGATAAAGTGTCACAGTTTAAGAAAACACACAAAACGAGTATGAAAATTTGGCCATAATAGGGAAGAAATGACCAAGGGGTTATTTAGTTAGTAAAGTATGGTGTTTTATGGATTGCTTGTCATGATTGAGGGGTATAAAATATAAAGATAATATTGGTTATATATGAGAAATTGAGAACACGGGCCCCATAAATAACAAAATGCTTTAGTTTTTTTTGGGGGGGGGTGACTTTTATCAATGTGTTAAAGTCCTAGTCAGGGAAAGTAAATCACAATCTGTTAAGGAATTTTAAGTGTTTATAATATGACAAAGAGAGTGTTCTTGAAAGTCCAGTGTGGCTATAAATTGGTGTGCATGAATGCATGATAGGGATTGATAGCTGTGTATCACTGCCTAATTCGAGCTCTGTATACATCAGTGAGACAGCTATTTATTTGATTTTTTATCTTCCTATTCAAGGAGGTATTGTCTTCCTGTCTTGAGTGTATGGGTATAAGAAATAAGTCAGTGTTTATTTGTGTTATTAAGAAAAAATAAGAGTCTGAGGTAAATCAATGTGCTATGTTGCAAAATTCAACACTAACCGAATGACACAATGTTTGGTATTGGATGGTTTATGAAAAAATGGAATTGTTTATTTAACTAGACAAATGCAAATGAGCTTTAAAACAAGCTCATTTATGAGTGGTTAGATGAATATTTGGTTTATTTGTATGCCTAAAAAGAGTTGTTGTTGTATGCCTAAAAAGAGTCTGTTATAGCATTTCATGGCGTTCAGATTTGATGTATCCTAATACACATTTTGTTTTGTTAATAGGCTACTATCTTTTTGTTTGTAAACAGCTGATCAAGAAACGCCTAAAGGAGTTCAATATCTTTGTTCCTTCAAGGTTTAGAGTATTTAGAACTAGAAGAAAATTTACTGCAGGACCGTTTGAGGTAGAATGTATAAGGGTTACCCATTCTATCCCTGATTGTTGTGGACTAGTTCTACGCTGCGATGCTGGTACAATTCTCCATACAGGCGACTGGAAGGTAGGAGAGCTGTTTGTTTTTATCAGCTTTACAGCTAACAGTCTCTTCATTATTAAGGATCCTTATTTTATGCTCAACAGATTGATGAATCACCATTAGATGGAAAGGTTTTCGATCGTGATGCCCTTGAGGAACTCTCAAAAGAAGGAGTTACGTTGGTAAGCATGCAATGAACATCTCAAAAAGCAGAAACACTACTTTTGCCCAATGCCATTGATGTTTGTTGGGCATGTGGGTTCCATCTGCATACATTTGTTCTACCTTTAGCAGTAATACCTGTCTCAATATAAGAACCAAACAGACTATAATTTGTTTAAGTGCGTATATATTATTGCCATCTAACCATAACAAAAACAACCTACCCATTGAGGTCCCACAGATAGGGTCTAGGGGGTGGGTATGCGCAGGCCTCACCCTACCTGAAGCACCTATAAAAGGTAGAGAGGTTGTATTTGAAAGATGTCTGGCTCACAGGGACAAATGAAACAAATAGCACAGTCCAACAAGAAAAGTAAAGGCTTTTGCCATCTAAGTGTGTTAGTTAAAAATTCCATATCAGATAATATTGGTGAACATGAGTTATTCATGCAATGTTTCTCGTTCCTTATAGCAGCCATCAATATGAACATGTCTGCAATCTGTCTTGTTTGGCAGATGATGAGCGATTCAACAAATGTCCTTTCCCCCGGCAGGACACTTAGTGAGACTGTTGTAGCAGACTCTATATTAAGGCACATATCTGCTGCTCGTGGAAGGGTAATCACTACACAGTTTGCATCTAATATCCACCGCCTTGGAAGTATTAAGGCTGCAGCTGATTTGACTGGGAGAAAGATGGTAGGGGTTTATCCTGCATCTTTTATATTTTGCATCTTTTATATTTAGCTCTCTCTTTTCCTTTGGGACCTTTTACAGTTTTGTTAGAATCTCCAGTCGTGGATTGAGTTGGTAATGTTGTAATGGTGAAAGGTTTTTGTTGGCATGGCTCTGAGGACATATCTTGATGCTGCATGGAAGGATGGGAAAGCTCTAATGGATCCATCAACTTTGGTAATAAATTATTGCTTCATCCTTAGTCCTTACTGTTGGGTGTTTGCTCTCTGCTGCCCACTCACCTTCTCATTATTTATGGCTGTCTAAAAATAGAACCTTGATTTCACGGACTTCAAAGTTTGTTTTAAGACTGGCAGTGTGCGTGTATTTGTGTGTGGGGAAGTACTAGATTTATGTGAATCGGAGCTCACATTTTCTGTCGTAGCCAAGTTTATTTTCTTTACATGATAAATCTATCAGACTGGTCCAGACAATTTTTGGAAAAGGGGATTATTTAATCTAATTTACTATTTCTCTGTTATTTTGTTGCTCATCACTTCATCTCTATACAGGTGAAAGCTGAAGATATCGATGCTTATGCCCCGAAAGATTTGGTGATTGTCACAACAGGCTCTCAAGTAAGTGTATTTATGTTTTCCCTCTGTGCTCTCTATTGTTGCCAACCTAAATTTACTATTTAACAGGCTGAGCCACGAGCAGCTCTGAATCTTGCATCTTATGGTAATAGCCATTCACTCAAGTTGAACAAGGAGGATTTGATTCTTTACTCTGCAAAGGTATTGAATTCAAATTTATAAGGTGTATATATCACATTCCTTTTTACTAAAGAGAATATGCTAAAACTCGATTAGTTGGGATTAAGGTGTTAATAATGATGATCGTTGTTGAAATTTTAGGACACAATTGTCTCTCCTTGACAAGTTTACAGCTTATCCCCACGCTCACACAGAACTCGCACACAACACCTTCCTAGTTTCTGTCACACTCCACACCTATATAATGGTGTGCTCTTCTTATATCTTATATTGTACTCTGGAGTTTTTTTTTGAATGGATATCTTATCTTGTACTAATATCAATAGAAGTAATGCACATCATATTTGCATCTTCTTTATTTATTGGTTTCTCTTATATTGCTTCCGCTTGCAAGTGGAGAGGGCTTACTAGCTTCATCCGTTTGCCTTCTAATATCTCAATATTCAACATGGTATCTCAGCCAATAATTTGGCAGGTGTGAATAGTATCATTGCTTGAATAAAAGTTTTCCTATGAGTATAAATCTATGGTAGTAGTCCATTAAAGCTGATCCCACCACCAAACGTGCGCCTCCTCATCATGACTTGCTGTCAACCTTCACACAATCATCTTCATTTTGTTCCGGTTTGCCTCATCTGTGCATCGGTCGCCAATGCCGCCACCACAGATGTATTTCTTTCTTCTCAGCGACTCCATATGACCTTTTAGTACGATGATCCGACCACCCACGCGCCACCATTGACTCACATGTTGCCGCTGTTGTCTCACATGCAACTGGTGTGTGTCAACCATTTCTGGCGATATTTTCAGGCAAAGTTACTTGTTCTCTCCATAACTTTGCTTCACCATGTGTCATTAACTTCAATCGCTTCTCTAATTTCACTTTATCTACGTGAACTCTGTTAATTGATTATTTTCCTTTGGCACTCACCTCTTTGGATGTCATTCAATATTGATTAGATATATGAGCTCGTCCAAAATATTATCATTCTCTTTTGGCACAGAAAATTAAGGGACTTGATTTAATCTGAATGATGCATAAACCACTAGGCTAAACACCCTCTCACACTGTTCCAACAACAACAACAACAACCCAGTTGGATCCCACGAAAGTAGGGTTTGGGGAGGGTGTGTGTATGCAGACCTTGCCCCTACCTGAAAGTTGAGAGACTGTTTCCATGAGACTCTCAGCTCCACATAAAAAAGAGATCACAATGGATACATAAAGCAAGGACCTCTCACACTGTTCCGAAGCTCATTATATTTTCTTAAAGAGAGAATGTGCGGGTTCATTTCTCATGGTGGCATAATGGTGCAAAGGCTCATTTTATGTCTTTTCCACTTGGGAGATGAGAGGCATTTTAATTTTTATATAGGCTCTGGAGTGATAGTTTGAGAGAGGGCTAAAAATAGGGTTACATTTTAAAAAGGCGGGTAAGTGAAAATGAACCAAACCAAGCCACACCAAACAAACCCAATATATCCACTAGGAAGTAGACCCGGAGAAGGTGAGACGTACATGCTTCTTGCCTCTGTTGTAGCAGCGGAGAGGATGTTTTTGACCCCATCAACAGCATCAAGTACTTAAAAGACAGTGTACTAGCACAAATGACAAAAGTAACTAAAAGAACAGGGACGATACTGAATTACTGAGCAACAAAAAGAGAATAAATACTACCAAAATTATTGGCAGGTTATACTAGGTGGCAAACCCACACTACACCTGCAATCTTAAAAAATGGCGGGCTCTCAATAATGACTGGAAACAGTATAGTTTGTATTCTAAAGGTTTTCTTGCTATGTTCTATTTGAGGATTTCATGGGAATAATATTCCCTTCTACTCATCTCTCTCTTCTATTCCTCCCCTCTCTCTTATCAATCTTCTCCCGTTTCCTCTTCCACATC